AGCAGTGGTCGGCAACCTACAGACCGCGTGCAACACGTGGACGCCAAGCAATTTCCAGTGACACTCAGCCGTAAATGACATCACGAAGTCCGAACCAATAAGGACTACAAGGCAAAGAAGATATTTAGCTGTTTCAATTTTAATAGATACTAAAGTATATATACAATATATTACATGCCCCCTGCGCAAGGATGACACGCAAATTCGTGAAGCGTTCCATATTTTTTTTTATATTTTTGGCCGGGCCTACGGGCTCGGGTGACCACGTAAAACTCGGCCTTGTGCCACAGGCAACCCCTCGTGGGGGGACAGCTAAATATCATACTATATATTACTATATGTAAAAATATATATATATATTTTTTTTTTAAGCATTACGCCCCAAGCAAGGCGTGAAGCCACTAGGATACAGCTGGTTGCGGAAGATTTGGAGCGAGAGCAGATAGGAGTGATAGGAGAAAGGATGAGGAGAAGGATAATGGGTAGATCAAGGTAACTGGAGATGTCGGTTGACATTACATTTGAATAGTTGGAGATTATAGCCTTCAGGGAAGCAGTAACTGGGGAGGGTGTTCCACTGGCGAGAGGTGCGAGGTATGAAGCTATTGGAGTAGAAGAGACGGCTAAATTTGAGAGTTTCTACGGTGTAAGGGTGGGAGCGGGATGCCAGCCTCGTAGGGCGCTTGAATTCATGGAGTCTGGGAACCAGTGAAAACAGCTCATCGGAGCAATTACCATGAAAGTATTTGTAGAAAAGACAGAGAGAGGCGACGGCGCGTCTGTGAGAGAGCGACTGCAGACGAAACGCCAGATCAGGGCCAATTATATTACATATCCGTCTCTGGATCTTGTCAAGAACCCCGAGGTAAGCAGAAGGTGCCCCAGACCATATATGACAGCAATACTCCATGCAAGGGCGAATGGTTGTTTTGTAAATTTGAAGTATAGATTCAGGGGAGAAAAATTTCCTGGCGCGGCACAGAGAGCCAACTCGCGGTGGAAGAAGCAATTGACTCAATGTATTTGTTCCATCTCAAGTCAGTAGTCAGCATGAGACCGAGCAGACGCAGGGAATTGCTCTTAGGAAGTTGACTATCAGACATTATAATGGGGGGCAGGGAAGGATCTCTATGGTGGTTAATGGAGAGTAATTTAGTCTTAGTGGCGTTAAAGTTGACCAGCCAATTCTTGCCCCAGTTAACAACCGATTGGAGGTCCATTTCGAGACGCATTGCATATTGTAGAATTGGTTTATTGACCTCGACTTGCATAAAAATACGTACGCTGTTGGCACACCGAATGATTTTAAAACCCTAAATTGGCACATAATTAGCAAAACATTGCTAACCCCTTCATTATAGCATTGAGGATTTAAAGCACTTATATTTATCTGTTTCAATTTTAATATATACTAAAGTATATATACTATATATTACTATATGTAATATATTGTAGTAAAGGTATATTGACCTTGACTTGTATAAAAATAACGTACGCTGTTGGCACATTGAATGATTTTCAAAAATAGCAAAAGGTTGCCGAGACTTGGATTAAAGCATAAGTTCGTGAATTTGTTGACGTATTAATTGTTAATCCGACCCCTGGGGCGGGTAGTAGTAACTTAATTTTAATAGAACCAGATTGAGCAATAACTGAACAGTACTACATAAGAACAAAATGAGATATCCCCAGATATGGAAAGAAGAATAAGAACAATCTATTATGTAGATTAAATAAATGATTCAATTTGAAATTCACTGAAGGTTGAACGAATTGAGAAACATCTGGTGAAGGCCGCAGAGCAATGAAGCCGAATCTTTTTATAATGCTAATAAAAATGAGGACATTTATAGCAGAAGATGGCATAGGCGATGGGAAAATTTTGTAGACAATGCTTGTGTTGGTGTTTATCGCATTATTAGAGAATTTCAAAAAAGAAAAGCAGAATGTAGAACACTAATGTAAACGCATTCTCCAAGGAGAGATTTGTCCAAAAAGAAAAAAAAATGTGTGATTTATCGTGATGAATGGTTTAAAAATATAGTTAACGATCGTGAAAACCAACCAGATGATGTCTTAGGGCTTTTGCTCATAATCTTTCATTATAAATTATTCTTATATTCTGGTTTTATATTTTGTTAATGAATTTTGAATGTTTCAAATGTATAAACACTATTTAAATGCTATTTTGTCAATGTTTAGAAATAAAGGTATTTCAAAATTTATTTCCAATTTCTCCCAAAGACTTTTTCGGGATTCTGATCTTTCAGGATTTTAAACTTCGGGATTTTGATCTTTTGGGATTTTGATATATTCGGGATTTCAAATTTCAGGATTTCGACATCCGGGATTTTAAGATTCGGGGTTATAATCCCAACCCGGAGATACTATTGTTCAGCGGAACAAATACAAGCTTCTTCCTCATCATCTATGGGCTCTCTTCAAGACGTAGACATACATAACTCTCTACAGCTTACCGTTTTCTGTAGATCTAAGCAGCACTTGTCCCTTTATTTTCCCTCTCAGTCCATGTTCTGATAAGATTGTTTGGTAGGATATTCACTGTTTCTTTCTGTATTTATGGTCTTGCTAGTGTGAAATACTCCAAGTCCATTTTCCTTGTACTGCGTTCAAGAAATTTAAACTGTCATCCATATTGTCCTTAAAACGTTCTCATTGTTCAAATGTCCAATTTATACTAATGTTCACAGACTTGAAGGGGCTTCACAGTCATTCAAGTTGGAAAGTTATTGTTAAAATGGTTGTGAAGAATAAGTTGCGTCGCTTGAATGAAAGGAGAAAGAAAATAATGTCGAGGTTACTCCATCCCTAATCTAAGAATTTAAAAAGGAACAACAAGTCTGAATTAAGAGTTTTTCCTTCTCCTAGATTGGTTGCCTGTCCCTGCGATTTAACCATAACTAGGAGGAAGAGATGGAATTATACCTTTCCCAAGAGTATCAGGATGTATGTCAATGCAATGAACTCGACTGGAATTCAAACTCAGCTCTCAGATTCTTCAATCCGACCCGCTAAGCATTAATCCAATATATCTCCAAACCTTGACTTAAAGAGATTAAAATTACTGTGTGAAGAAAAGAAACCACGTGGGAGATTTTAAATAAAGCATCAGCTCTTGAGAAAAGTTCACTCACTGGAATTTTCTCCTGTCTTTTGAAGAACTAAGGTTGATGCTTGATAGGACGTTATAGCTTTCTTTCTTTTAGACAGAATAACATTATTATGTGTGTCCTGGGTAAGACGATAAACTGCATCCGCGTCCTGGGTAAGACAATAAGCTACATTCAACAGCAAGGCCTCTGATCAGGAGGTTTTGAGGAGCGTGTAACCACCTCTTAATCGCTGGTGACCCCAGGTCCACCATTACCCTGGGTGGTAGCACCTGTTAGGATCCTAATTATAGGCAAATAGTTAACCCCCAAACTGGAGTTAAAACAATATGAAAGTGTAAAAATAAGTTTTAATACTAGCAATATATTTTTCTAAAAAAATATTACCATAAATACATTTTTGAAGGAAAAAGTATTACCAGCAATATATGTTTTAAGGAAAAAATATTAGCTGTAATACATTTTTGCAAAAATATATTACCAGCAATAAAAATCTTGTCGGCATTAAATAACCCATTGAGGTTGATATACCGTAAAGCAAAACAAATCAAATCAAAGCAAATCTCATCTCTCCATCACTTAAACACCCATTCTTTTTTCGGCACACAGGCATTCTTTATCACGCCAGCAGACAAGTTTCTTTCAGGCCGAAAACGTTTTATCTTAAGCCTTAATGAAAGTTTAAAAATATTACCAGCAATAAAAATCTTGTCGGCATTAAATAACCCATTGAGGTTGATATACCGTAAAACAACCCAAAACAAACCAAACGAAACTAAACATTACTATGTAAAATTTAGGACCACTAGATTTAGTATACCTCTGTGGAAGGCCGGAGAATATATCGTTCAAAATGTTGGGTTGTTGAACAGTCTAAAAATATGTGCGTTGATTAAACGAATACCTAATCTCAGAGAATCAGGAATTGGATTGATTTTTGTTGGAAGAGAATTCATTTACTCTAATGGGATTTTTGTTCTTGAATATTTTTTTTCTGCGCTGAAATATTACTCAAGTGATTTTAAAAAAAAATCTCCTAGCTAAACTTTTCGTCAAAAACTGTCTTTACTCTCTCCATTCGATGTTCTTTTCCGACTGCCTTGTCCATATTTCATTTTTATTTTTTGTTGTTGTACACTCTTTCTCTCTTCGAAGATTATTGCCCACTCCCTTTGTTTTTGTCCACCGTACATTCTAACCAATTTTTTTTACACAGTCTATCTATCGATTTTTAAATGCTCTCTTACTCTCACCGATTCATCTCCTAAACTCACAGATATTCTCTTCCCCCCTCTCTCTCTCTCTCTCTCTCTCTCTCTCTCTCTCTCTCTCTCTCTCTCTCTTACCATTACTTTATCCGCATCTATTTATTGCCTTATAATTATTTTCCTCCTCTCATTCGAAAGGAGATTTGTTTTGGTCGAAGAATTCTAAGAAACAATTGATTTTTTTTTTTAAATATTTGGAAAATTGAATGTCTACAAGAAATTAACGCAGGAAAATAAAATTGAAATTAAGAAAAACAAAAATTTTAATATAATAAAAAAGCAATTGAAAATTTTCAGAAAGTCTTTTACCAAACATTACATCGTAATTCGCTTCATATTATGGAAATTAATTTTTTGATTCGCGTGGCCAGCAGAATTCTTTCAATGTTCAAACGAGTAATAGAAAGACTGGAATTCAGTGTTTGTTTGACCAAGAAAAAGTCTAGAAAAGTTTAAAGGCGAATTTACTTAGCAATGAAGTAGCTATGGGTTTCCTACTATAATTAGTATCGTAAATTGATTTCTTGCATTTTCTCTTTCTTCCTTTTCGGGGTTGCAATTTTATCCATATATATATCCAAATATCTTTCTATCTATGAAAATGTGTTACTATCTATCTATCTATGTTACTATCTATCTATCTATCTATCTATCCAACTATGTTACTATCTATCTATCTATCTATCTATCTATCTATCTATCTATCTATCTATCCAACTATGTTACTATCTATCTATCTATCTATGTTACTATCTATCTATCTATCCAACTATGTTACTATCTATCTATCTATGTTACTATCTATCTATCTATCTATCCAACTATGTTACTATCTATCTATCTATCCAAATATTTTACTATCTATCTATCCAAATATGTTTATATCTTTCTATCTAACTATCCAAATATGTTGGTATCTATCTATCTATCTATCTATCTATCTATCTATCTATCTATCTATCCAAATATGTTACTATCTATGTATGTATCTATTTATCTATCTATCCATCTATGTATCTACCTAAATCTTTTCTTTCTTTCTATCTATCCAAATATGTTAATATCTCTCTCTCTCAACATATATATATATATATATATATATATATATATATATATATATATATATATATATATATATATAGCGATTATTGAGTTAGCCCTCAAAGCCGACAGGCTGTTTCATGCTCGAGACGCAATCGTCAGGCTGGGCCTTCATATTTCTTCATATATATATATATATATATATATATATATATATATATATATATATATATATATTATATAAATTAACTGATTTAAAATATGGTTTCTTCTACAGAGTAATAACTATGTTTCAAAAAATGAAGCTAAAAACTTCTAATTTAATTATATAATTAAATTAAAAGCATTAATTCTGTTTCATCCTCAAGCGAATTTTGGAATAACTTGTTTTTAAATATACTGAGTTTTAAACGCACATATAAATTCATAATTTCCTGTTTCGAGGGATACAGAGAAAGCCAATCATTTAGACAGGGGCGGTAGTGTGTTCATTTTTATTAACTATTGTTGTATCAATTATGAGTTACGTTCGAAAAAGAGGTTAAGTTTAGTGGGAGGTAGGGGGGTATTCTTCAATGAATTCTGACATCCGTTAAACGCATGTCGTCTGGGTTTTCTTATTATTTTTAACGGTAAAAAGTTTTTCGGTATTTTTTTCGTACTTGTTTACTTAAAGATTCTTTCTAAAATGAGTGTTTCTGTTAGAATACTTTATATTTAACTACAATTTTAAAATCTTTTTACTCTTAATTACTAATAGACTATATTTCTTTTTAAATCAATTAAATGTAATAGAATTACTTAAATTATTTAAAATTATTTTTTCATATCAAATATAAGTATGTATATTACAAGCTCCATTTTTTTTAAAATATTATTTAAGGAAAATCTTTGATAATGACATCAAAGAATAGCTATTTCATTTCTTTGATTCAGTAAATTTTTATTTTTTTATAAACTTAGTAATATATAGTTTCTCATGTATGCACAAAGGACATGGGTCATTTAATGACCTGCACATTTCTGGCTTTTCTTATTAATTTCCATTTTATTTTAGGTGTTTTATTGGTTTCTTTTCTTTGATGTTACAAATGACATCAAGCAAGGTTGTGCCATGGCCTCTGTTCCCATTGTTCTATTCTTCTCAGTAATGCTCAAATATACCTTTGGTTGCATAGACACTGGTGTTAAATTTCAATTTCGCACCAATGATGATCTTTTCGGCAATCGGCGGTTCAAATCTAAAACACTTCTTGGAACTAACGTCATTTGCTGTTTGTTGATGATGTAACACTTGTGGCAACATCCATAAAGGAAACCTAAGAATTCGTCAACAGTCTGTCTGTTGCATCTAATTCTTTGGGTCTTACCATTAGCATAAAGAAAACATAGTTAATTCACCAGACGCCTCATTGTCTAAAGCAGGTTTGGTGTGTCAGACACCGTGCAACTATTTATCAATTGTCAGACATGCGAAGAATTTGAAGTATGAAGTTATTTGCATATTTAGGAAGTAAGATGAATGCAAATGCTTCCCTTGCTGACGAAATAACAAATAGGATCGCCAAAGCTACAAATGCATTTAGGAAGCTTCTTCACCGCCTGTAGAATGAGGCATGTGTCAAATTGGACACTAAAATACGGGTTTATCAGCAGCCATTTTGATTCCAGTATTGTACGGCTCAGAATCGTTGACCCCATAAAGGTTTCCTATCAATACCTTTCACAAAAGTTGTCTCCGCGCGATCTGTGGCTATACTTTTGCCGTAACATTGGTGAAGTTTTCTCAGGGTTGGTCATGTTGCCAGGATGAGTTATGACAGAATACCTAAGGTCCTCATGTATAGCCAGCTTCACAGTGGAAAAAGGACTGGTGGACAAGCTAAAAAGTAACCTCTCATCTGTCAACATGCATCATACTAACTTCGAACGAGTTGCTCTGGATAGAAATAACTGGAGATATTTGTGCCAGAGTGGTATCAGCAATTTCGAAATCAGTCGTATTGACCGACTAAGAGACGAAAGACAATATGTGTATATGTATGCAAGTCTCTAGCGAGGTTGAAGTGCCACTCACGACACGATCATAAAACTAAATGAGGTTGTCGGATCCTAATACACCGAAATAATATATGACAATATATTCTCCTGAAAAATTTATTTCGGTTGAGCTCTCTGGGGAGGAAGTGTGGGTTCGTAAGCAGAGACTATTACGGCTAATAAGGCAAGACTCTTCGTTAAATCGAATTGTGTTCTCTCAGTCACTGTGTGTTTATCTAAAAATAAATTCGCTTAAATTCACCTTCATCCCTGCCATGGATTAGTGGGATTAGTGGTAGAATCTCCGACTGACGCCAATTCAGTCGGGTTTCGATCCTAGCTAGAGGCAACCGGACGTCTAGCCACACTGATGAGCTATGATACAGCGAAACAGTCCGTCTGTGGATGACTCTCTCTCTCTCTATATATATATATATATATATATAGATATATGGGGAGAGAGAGAGATTAATATAAACAGAGATCAAGATCTAGATATTGACAAGATTGAATATATATATATATATATATATATATAGAGAGAGAGAGAGAGAGAGAGTTTTCACAGTGGAGGCTTGTATTTCACTAAGTCGGTCCTAAAAAGGTTCGACGTACAAAACGTTAGGAACTTGATATAATAGTTAATGACGCAGCAATCTAGTTGTGGTGGCTGATACTTTAATGTCCGACATGGACTGACTCGCCAACTCACTGAGCGACTTCGCGACTGCTACTACTACTACTTATTATATGTGGGAGGGTCTATTAACTATAGAATAGGTGTGTTCCAGTATAACATATATAGATAGATAGATAATGGAAAGAAAGAAACGGCCATAGATAGATAGATAGATAGATAGATAGATAGATAAAAGTGGCGTTTCCCTTGATGTGCAGGAAGCTGAGGTGATGATGAAATTTTAAATTCAATTTTATTTATGTTTCAGAATATAGCTTAGCCAGTTTGGTTCAGATACTTTTTTATATCAATGCCATTATTAGTTATTCAACAGTTGTAGACAATAGAAGCTCTGTCAAGAAAGGTGAATTGTTGTAAAAAAATTGAACGTAAATTTACTGTGAATTATCAGATGATTAAATCACTTTCTTTACATCTCTTCGTCTTAGTAAATTGCTCTCTATTTTAATTAATGTAGCCTTTTTTTTAAATCAGAATTATGTTCAGAGTCATTACGGTGACCAACTAATACATTTAGTGTGTTGTTTTGCAAAATATCCCTTTTGTGTTCATATAGGCTTTTGTTTAATTTTCTCGATGTTTCACGAATGTATTCCTTGGGACAATTATTACATATGATAGAATAAAATTGTCCTTTAAGTTTTAGCACATTATGTTTTTTTGTATTGGTTAAGTCTTTTATTTTTAGAATTAGTAGTCACAAATTGTTTGTTAAGACTAAATAAATGATTTTTAATTTGAACTTGTGATAGAGTTGGTGGGTATATTTTGATTCGTTATGATTGTCAAAATGTCCCATTGTTCTGTTTTTAAATACTTTAAGAGCCTTTCGTTTGGTATTTTATACGAAATAATACAGATATTGAACGTTCTTAAAAGTATTTTCAATGTATTTCTCGTCTTCTTTATGGCTACAAATAGAAGATAATTGGCCAGAACAATTACCATGAATGTATTTATAGAAAAAACGAAGGGAAGTTACGTTACAGCGTTGGGAAAGTGACTGAAGCCGAGATGCCAGGTCAGGACGAATATAATTGCAGATTTTTCTTTGGATTTTATCAAGAATCGCTGAATATATAGCGGGCGCACCAGACCAAATGTGTCAGCAGTATTTAGAGTAAGATGGAATGGTAGATTTATGGAGACAACCGTTTCTGTGATCGGATACTGGTCGTCGATCTTGGATTTATTTTGAACTTTTTTGATGTCCCGTACATATTTTTCATCCCAAGCATCTCATTTGATGCGAACTTCGCGTCTCAGTTCCTGCAAACGCTTACTTATGCATATCGATTAACCAGAGATAATCCCAATAATCGTGTGTTAATCCATGCTTAACCTATTCTTTGCCATGTTTCTATGCTAAAAATATACCTCGAGTTTTATCAGACGGAATATTTCATTTTATATCAATAATTTCTTACTGTTTTTTATCACTTTAAAATAAAAGATTAACGATGCTGTGAACAAGACTGTTCTTTCGCCGTCGACAATTTATTGCTTCATTTTGCATTATATTTTTTTTTAATAAGCATTTCGCCCCAAGCAAAGTGGGAGTGCCAGTAGTACGCAAGTGAGTTAAAATAAGAGAAAAGACTGCGTACAAAGAGGATTGACGAAAGGATAAAAAGTAGAACGAGATCAAGGCAACATAAGATGTCGATTGACATTACATTTAAATTTTTGAAGCAAGTAAGAGGAAGGGAGTTTCATTGTCGGGAAGTGCGAGAGAAGAAGCTGTTGGAGTAGAAGAGGCGGTTACATTTAACTGTTTCGACAGTAAATATGTGAGGCCGAGATGCCATCCGAGTAGCACGCTTAAATTCATACCAGTGAAAATAGCTCGTTGGAGCAGATGCTATGAAAATAATTCTAGAAAAGACAGAGGGAAGCCACATCACGTCCGTAAGAAAGTGACTGTGGTCGAGACCCTATGTCATGGCCGATTATTTCCCTTATTAGATTTTGTCGAGAACATCGTGATGACCAGCTTGGGCACCAGACAATATATGGCAACAGTATTCTATGCATGGACGAATAGTAAATTTATTGATAAGTTACACCAGAAGGTTTTTCTTTTCTGAGTCGATATGAAGGATCGACTCAGACGAGAAAAAACTTTCTGGTGCAACACAGAGAACCAACTATCCTTGCGATAGATGCAGCTATTGAATCAATGTTCCTCAGGTCAGTGGAAAACGTGAGACCAAGAAGGTGTAGTGAGACGCT